ATCCTACCAAAATGGCAGCGAAGACCATAAAATGGGCTGTGGACGTGGGCCAGATGGAGCTTCGAGATCGGGCCAAGTAATTTAAGCAAACACCATTGGGCCACACGGGGAGTAGGTTGTAACTGGCCCATTTCTAAGGTTTCTTTATTAATTACAGCAATTAATCCTAAACATTATTATTTTTCATACAAACAATATTTCTCCTTAACTAAATTAAACTTTACAAAGAGTTTTGTAGTATTGAGAAACAATAATATAATCCCATACCAAACTCGAAACTAATTAGTAATTTCATTTCCTATTCCTTTAAATCAAAGTCTCATACTTATCAAAATTAAGGGATTAAGCAATATTGTGGGAATTTACTTTATTTATTGGACAATACCTTAAATAGAAATCTCATAATTATCATGAGTTCAAGTGAGGCAACTCAATCATTAAATAGTCGACTTTTAACAAAAATGCATGTTTAAGCTATGAAATATCAAAATTTTGTTTATGTTGATTTTTAAAGTATGACATTTAAGTTAATATGCATATCTAGTTTAAGCTATGAAATATCAAAATTTTGTTTATGTTGATTTTTAAAGTATGACATTTAAGATATTATGCATATCTATTAAAAAAAATATGTAACGACAGTCTTACTGCATAACTATTTATCAATTTCTAGTACCTCCATCTAGTTTCTGCAGTGAAACAATAACAGAAGAAACAAACATTGAAAACTAGAATACCTACAAATGTTACCTTCAGGCTTCAGCCTAAGAATTGGTGTAACACCACAAACCTGAAGGAGGTGCTTTAAATGGGGGTGTTTGTAATTTTGATAGATAAATCACATAAATGTATCTTTTTGTAATAAGACTCCGAACCTCTGTAATTAATAATTATCCATTCATGTTCTCACAAAGCTATTTCATTCCACAATTCACTGTTTCATAGAAAAAACAAGCTCATGCACAAATGCAGGATTTGTATCTATTTGCATTCTAACGCAAAAATAAACGATGAAAAAGAACAAAAAGATAGGATACAATATAAATAACAAAACAAAGATTACATAAAAAGAACTACATTTCATAATGATTTGCTAACAATAGACGAAGAGTACTAAATGAAAAACACAGGAAAGTATGTGTATGCCCCCCAATCAAAACAAGCATCTGGTAAATTTAACCTCTTTGCATAACGATAGTTGCCTTATCTTGACAAGAATTTGATTACAACTAATGCTTCAGTACGAAAATATAAAATGCAAGATTTTCCTCTAGGAGTATCCAATGAAGTACACTATATTTTTGTTAGTGAACAAACCCCTAGTCACATCACATGCGTACAACATTCCTCATAAAACTAAAGGATTTAATCTCGACTTCACACATGGCTACAGTTTTCGTTTTCTTTTCATCCTCTAACTCCCTTTA